GGGAAACCATTTCCGGCGATATTGGCGCTTGCGCTAATGAGACTCGCGGGGCCTTTTATTTCGAATCGCTGGCGTTTCTCTTCGGAGGACGGACACCAAGCCGGAAGAGGATGGCGGCCGCCGCTCTGAAGAGACTTTGGTCGCGAAGCCGCGGAGAGGCTGGGAACGCGGCAGCCGCGAAGCCGGGCGTGTGGGCGCGGTTGGGTGAGTAGCGGCGAGTGTCAGGAAGCGGTGGGTTAGGTAGCCGCAGCGGCTGAACTCCTGTCACCACGCTTCTCTCCCTTCAGGCACCTGGGCCCGCGCGCTGTTAAGGGACTACGCGGAGGCCTGTGGGGACGCGGCGGCGGCGGCGCGGGCCCGGCCGGGACGGGCAGCCGTGTACGTGGGGCTGTTGGGCGGCGCGGCGGCCTGCTGCGCGCTGGCGCCGAGCGAGGCGGCCTTTGAGGAGGCGCTGCTTGATGCTTCGGGGGCCCTCCTGCTGCTGGCGCCCTCCACGCGCAACCGCGACTCAGAAGCCTATGTGCAGCGGTTGCTTTGGCTGCGGGGCCGCGGTCGCCTGCGCCACGTGAACTTGGGCCTGTGTTCGCTGGTGTACGAGGCGCCCTACGACGCCCAGGCCAGCCTCTACCAAGCCCGCTGCCGCTATCTGCAGCCTCGCTGGGCTGAGTTCCCGGACCGGATCCTGGACGTGGGTTTCGTGGGCCGCTGGTGGGTACTGGGGGCTCGGATGCGCGACTGCGACATCAACGATGACGAGTTCCTCCATCTGCCGGCACATTTGCGCGTCGTCGGGTCCCATCAGCTACACTCGGAGGCCAATGAGCGTCTCTTCGATGAAAAGTACCAGCCCGTCGTGCTTACCGACGATCAGGTGGACCAGGCGCTATGGGAGGAGCAGGTCTTGCAGAAAGAGAAAAAGGACAAGCTGGCCCTGAGCCAGGCCGACTCGCTGGTGCAGTCGCAGGGCCCGAGATGAAACCCAGTGAGGCCTGGGTCCCGACCCGGCTCCGAGCCCTGGCACACTGTCAGCCCGGGATTGCGCAAGTCATTGAGTGAGTTTCAAGTGCACAGTGCCTGAAATAAATTATAGAGAGAGTATTCCCTCGCTCGGTTTTCACAAAATTAGGGGGCCTGTCTCCCTCTCACATTCTTCCTTGTTAGCTGAAGCCAATTCGGGGGCTTCTTGGTCTAGCAGTTGGGGAGAGCAGACCGTGTAATGTTTATCACTGCCAGAATTAGAAATGAGCCTTATACATAAGTAAGCCTTTTTCATTGAGCCTCACCGTCCCACTGACTGAGGTATCACCTCTGTCAGGTGACTCCCAAGCTCTCCTAAGGCCATTCACATTTTTGTCTTAAATTTTGAGCTGCAATGTTTATACTGTCATTTTCATGAGTAACATTTTTTTTAACTTTAACTTATTTTGAAAATGGAAAAATAATAGAGACATCCTGTTTTCCCTTCACCCTGCTTCTTCCAAATGATAACATTTTGAATAAGCAATACCAATCTAGAGACTGATGACATTGGTATGACTATTTGGATTGTACAGGGAAAATTTTTGCAAAAACATTGTGCTTTTTATCATTTGTGTATTGATAGTGATGTTAAATGACTTGGAAGGATAAAACATTTTCTGTTGTGGAAATATATACGGAATTATGGATTCTGGTTATGTTATATTTAAGTAACCTTGAAAACACAGAGTCCTGTGGAAAGGAATATGTTCATGTACATAGCTGGTACTTAGCTAGGTTATGGTAATTATACCTTAAAAACTAAACTATTAGAGAAATGAGAGTGACTTTCACCTAGGTGGCCTGTGGCTAGTTAATAAAACCAGAGATGAAACCAGCTTTGTTGTGACATTTATGTTCATGTGCTTCGCTGTTGAGTTTCAGTACTAGAACCTTCCGTTCCATTCGTACTATGAGTGCGCTGGACACACAGTACTTTTTATATCCTTATTTTTGGAGGCAGGGGAGTATCTTCCAAGTCAGCACATCCATTTTATGAAGGAAAAAGTGAGGTTCGAAAAGTTTGTTATTTTTCCAAGACCGTGGCAGAGCCATGATTCAAACTGTATCTCCCAATGCTGTCATTTAATTCTCACATTCACGGCACTCTCTTTGATCCTAACAACATCCTGCCAGTAACTAGTAAATAGTGCTATCACTAGCCATAAGTAAAACTTGAATACAAACGTAAATGAATATTTAAAAATGCAATGAAGAAAATACTAAATTGTAATCCTATATTGTTGCCTGCCAAAGCTCTGGACCTAAATCCTGACGTTTTTGTTCAAGAGAGAGGGATTAGCCAACTTCAAGGAAGGGTTTAAGGCACACTGGCATCAGAGTGACACTTGTTCCTCACCATAATCAGAAGTTTTGAAAGAGGACTGCACATCTCCACTGCTTGAGTCAGTTACGAAGTGCCACTTTTGACTTTCTGCCCGAGTGTGTTCCATGCAGACCCCCGGTAGCTGTGAAGCTCAACAGTGGTTGGCAACAAACTAAACAACACTCAGCACATTGATAGGAATTGAGGGGTTTGGTATAGGCCTGGAGGCCATGTGCTCTTGTCTTTGGTAGGATGGTTGGCCTTTCCCAGAGGAGTTCTACCATATGTTCATTCCCAACTCTGGCAGCGCTGGCCTCCTGAGTTTGATATAAGGTGTGTGCACAGGAGCTGTTAGATTGGACAGTGGGTCGACCAGGTAGTCCTCATGCTGTGCATCTTGGGGCATACACGGGCTCCCACAGGACAGGTCCAGGTCTCCTTGTTCACTAGTGAGCCCCCAGCTCCCCACAGTGCTCAGCCCAGTGTGAGCCCTAGCAAATGTGGAAAGACTTAGATGCTGTGCATGCCCATTGTGAGTGGGAGCTGGTATGGTCCAGCTGGGGAATGACAAGCGGACTGAGGTTGGTGCTTCATCCATTGGCCAGCCCGGGGGAAGAGGCCCTCTGGCGTCAGCCCTGCCGAGTACCAGAAACAGCAAAGTGGACATACTGTATCTGTTTCCATAAGAGTAGTAGGATCTGGGAAAGTGGGGTTTGATACTCAGCTCTCACACTTTCTAGCTTTGTGACAAGACCCAGGTCAGGGCAATTGGGGCAAGGAAAAAAGGCATCTAAATGTTAAACTGTCACTATAGTCACGTGCCACTTAATGATGGGGATACATTCTGAGAAATGCATCATTAGGGGGTTTTGTCATTGTGCAAACATCGCAGAGTACTTAAACACACCTAGGTGGTCTACCCCACTACACACCTAGGCTATGTTACAGCCTATTGCTCCTAGGCTACAAACCTATACAGCATGGTAGTGTACTGAACACTGTAGGCAGTTATAACACAATGGTGGTATTTGTGAATCTAAACATAAAAGATACAGTAAAAATAATGGTGTACAAGATAAAAAATGGCGCACCTGTATAAGGCACTAACCATGAATGGAGCTCACAGTACTGGAAGGTGCTCTTAAGTGAATCGGTGAGAGAGTGGCGAGTGAGTGTGAAGGCTGAGGACATGACTGCATCACTGTTCACTACTGTGGACTTTATAAACGCTGTGCACTTAGGCTGCACAAGATGAAATCAAGCACAGAAAAAAATGCAATCAAAAGCTGTGGTAAACATAAGATGTATGAGACTGCTGCCTGCATAACAGGGCACACTGCTTTACAGCAAGCTTTTTTTATAAGAGTACACTCCAAAGTAACAAAAGTATTGTAAATACAACATAGTTGTGAATTTTCAAATATTAAGTACTGTACATAACCATATGTTTATACTTCGCTACAAATATATGTTGTGTGCTATACTATAAAAGTATGTGCTATACTTTTCTATGGCTGGCAGCATAGTAGATTTGTTAGCACCACCACAAACACGTGAGTGATGTGTTGCGCTACAGCCTTACAATGGCTACGACGTTATTAGGCAATAGGAAATTTTCAGCTCCATTATAATCTTATGAGATACTGTGGTATATATGTGGTCTGCTGTTGACTGAAACATTCTTATGCAGCACATGACTATATTTGCAGATTACATATATATAGAAAACCATGAAGACTCCACCAAAAAGGCTCTTGGAATAAATGAATTCAGTAAAGTTGCAGGATGCATAATGAATATATAAAAATCTATTATTTCTACACACTATAAACTGTCAGAAAGAGAGATTAAGAAAACAATTCCATCTACAATTACAGCAAAACAAATAAAATACCTAGAAATAAATTTAAGGAAGTGAAAGACTTGTACACCAAAAAGTGTAAGACATTGTTGAAAGAAATTGAAGAACACACAAATGAAAAGATGTTCCATGTTTGTGGATTGGGAGAATTAATATTGTTAAAATATCCATACTACTCGAAACAATCTACAGATTCAATGCAATCCCTATTAAAATCTCGATGGTATTTTCATAGAAATAGAACAACCCTAACATTTGTATGGAATCACAAAACCCCGAATAGCCAAAGCAATCTTGAAAGAACAAAGCTGGAGGCATTCCACTCCCTGATTTCAAACTATATTACAAAGCTATAGTAATCAAACCGGCATGGTAACTGGCATAAAAACAGACATATAAATCAATGGAACAGAATAGAGAGCCCAGAAATAGACTTGTACGTAAATGGTCAAGTAGTTTACGACAAAGGAGTCAAGAATACACAATGGGCAAAGGACAATCTATTCGATAAACGGTGTTAGGAAACTTAACAGCCACACACAAAAGAATGAAACTGGATCATTATCTTACATCACAAATAAAAATCAACTCAAAATGGATTAAAGACTTGAATGTAAGACCTGAATTTATAAAACTTAAAGAAGATAGGCAGTAAGTTCCTTGGCATTGGTCTTGATGATTTTTTAGATTTGACACCAAAAGCAAGGGCAACAAAAGAAAAACAAGTGGGTAAGCAAAACAACAACAACAACAACAACAAAAAACGGATGGGGCTACCTCAGACTAAAAAGCTGCACAGCAAAAGAAACCAACAAAATAAAAAGGCAACCTGATGAATGGGAGAAGATATTTGCAAGTCATATACCTCATAAAGGGTTAATATTCAAAAGTAATAAAGAACTCATACAGCTCAACAGCAAAACAACAACAAACCCAATCCAATTAAAAAATGGGCAAAGGGTCTGAATAGACGTTTTTCCAAAGAAGACATACAAACAGCCAACAGACTTATGAAAAGATGCCCAATTTCTCTAGCTATTAGGGAAATGCAAATCAAAACCACAATGAGATCTCACCTCACACCTGTCAGAATGGCTATTATCAAAAAGACAAGAAATAACACATGTTGGTGCACTGTTGGTGGGAATGTGAATTGGTGCAGCCAGGATAGAAAACAGCATGGAGGTTCCTCCAAAAATTAAGAATAGGACTACCATATGATCCAGCAATCACACTTCTGGGTATTTACCTGAAATAAACACTAGCTTGAAAAGATATCTGCACCTTCATATTTATTGCAGTATTATTTACAATAGATATGGAAACCACAAGGATGTTTATCAATAAATGAATGGATAAAAATGTGGTATATATACACACAATGGAATGTTATTCAGCCATGAAAAGAAAGAAATCTTGCCATTTGCAACAGTATGGATGGACCTTGAGGGCATTATACTCTGTGAAATAAGTCAGAGACAAATACTAATCTCTCTTACATGTGGAATCTAAAAAAGAAAAAAGAACGTAAAGGAGCTCATAGAACAGATTAGTTGCTGCCAGAGGGTTGGGGGGTAGGGGTAGGGGAAATGGGTGAAGGGAGTCAAAAGGCACAAACTTCAAGTCACAAATAAGTCATGGGAATGTCATGTATAGCATGGTGACACTCCTTAATAATACTGGATCACATGTCTAAAAAAGGAGCATTTGAATCTGGCTTTCGCACTCGCTTTGTGACTGACCTGGGACAGGTGAAGTGACAGCTCCATGCCTTTACTTCCTTACCTAGGTATAAATGGGAACGGTTCTGCTCAGGACTGTTAGAAAAAAAAAATCACACGAAAACATTCAGAGTCTCTGGTGTGGCCATATGGGGAGGACTGAGGCTCTGAGTCTATGCCCTGCCCTCCTGTTCCCTTGGAAGGGCGGCTGCTCCTCAGCTATAGACAGCCCAGCATGCTGGGATGGGGGTGGCCCCGGGCTGCTCCATGAGGAGAGCTCAGTAAATGGAGGACCAATAGAGCCTGAAGCCTAAGTGTGGACGTCCCTTGGAGCCTAAAGACGCTCAAATCTAATGTGAACATTTCCAGTTCTCCCTTTCTCTTAAAATTTATTCTTGATTAGTTTTAATCATTTCCATTTTCCAGGCCAGGACAGCAATTGGCCACCAGTTACGTCCTCAGTGCCGGCTGTTGTAATCAGAGAGACCAGCAGAGGGCACCCGAGGTTTGGTTCACAGAAGCTGGGCTGGCTCCTCTATCCCTACGCATAGGAAGGGCTGGTCAGTTTGCTTTTGTCCTGAGAACCAGCGTGGAGGTAGTGCAGTCAGCATACTCAGCTGTTTACTGCTCTTTCAAGATGGTAGGTAGATGGTGGCCAAAGTCAGGACTGCAGAGACGGGCCACATCCATCCCTAGAACTTGTACCTATTTTGTTAGCAGAGGAAGCCAGTGTCCTACCGTTGACACTTCTGCAGGGAGGGGCAGGATCGCCTGGCTAGCCCTGGAAGCTTGTAAAACTCCCTCGTTTTCTGGGAGTTGAATTGAGGCGCCCAACGTGCTAGGCCCTGGACCAGGGTAAGGCAAGCCATGTGCCTCAGTCACAGGATTTAAGGAGGGACCCCTCTCAGGGTCCAGCAAGCGCAGAGTCTC